TTTGATAAGGTACGCGCTGGTGCCTTACCTGCTCATCGTCCTTACGACTGCGCCATATCCTTGCAACCCGGTGCCACTCCTCCGCGTGGCAGGGTGTATCCTCTCTCGGTTGCGGAGAATCAGGCCATGGAGGAGTACGTTGCGGATGCGCTTTCCCAGGGGCACATTCGTAAGTCTACTTCCCCAGCAGGAGCGGGCTTTTTCTTTGTAAAGAAGAAGGGTGGTGAATTGAGGCCTTGCATCGATTATAGGGGTCTCAATCGAATCACCACTAAGAATGCATACCCGATTCCCTTGATTACTGAGTTATTCGACCGCCTTAAGGGGGCAACAGTCTTTACCAAACTTGACCTTAGGGCGGCGTACAACCTCGTACGGATCAAACAGGGGGATGAGTGGAAGACGCGTTTAACACCAGAACCGGCCACTACGAATACCTGGTGATGCCCTTCGGGTTGTGTAACGCGCCCCGCAGTTTTTCAGGAATTCATAAATGATGTCCTTCGTGACTTGTTGCAGCAGTGCGTGGTAGTTTACTTGGATGACATCCTGGTTTACTCTGCCTCCATGGAGTCCCGATATTTTGATAATTATTATTTTAATATATTTATATATTTTATATATTAATTATAATATTATTATATATTTATAATATATTTAATAATTAAAATTTTTTTAATAATATCCAGGATGTCAAGCAGGTGCTGCAACGATTACGTGAGAACGAACTTTTTTGTAAACTTGAGAAGTGTGAATTCCATCGATCCCAAGTTGCCTTTTTAGGCTACATCATTTCTGCGGAGGAATTCTCTATGGACCCTCAGAAGGTTTCGGCGGTTCTGCAGTGGCCTCGTCCCAATGGTCTTCGGCCCATTCAGCGCTTTTTGGGTTTTGCCAACTACTATTGGAAGTTCATCAGGAACTTCTCCACGCTGGCAAAGCCTCTCTCAGACCTAACCAAGAAGGGCAGTAATCCTCACGAGTGGTCATCCGAGGCCATCGTAGCTTTCGAGGCTCTGAAATCTGCCTTCGCTTCGGCTCCGATACTGTCTCATCCCAATCCTGGATTGCCCTTCGTCCTTGAGGTCGATGCATCCGAGACGGGAGTAGGCGCTCTCCTGTCTCAATGTCGGTCGCCCGATGGACCCCTACTTCCCTGTGGGTTCTACTCATGGAAGTTTTCCTCTGCAGAGTGCAACTACCAGATTGGAGATAGGGAGTTGTTGGCAATCATTCTGGCTCTCAAGGAATGGAGGCACCTGCTCGAGGGCTCCGCGGTTCCGGTCCTCATTCTTACCGATCATAAGAACCTGACTTATCTTTCGGAGGCCAAAAGATTGACACCCCGTCAGGCCAGATGGGCCTTGTTCTTGTCGCGGTTCAACTATGTAGTCTCCTATTTGCCTGGTTCCAAGAATGTCAGGGCTGATGCATTATCGCGGCAATACTCTGAGTTGTCCAGGGAGGACTCTGAGCCAACCTCGGTCATACCTCCGGATCAGATCCTGGCTGCCATTCACACCAGTCTGACTGATTTTGGCGGCTCAAACTGACGCTCCTCCCGAGAGACCGGAGGGTAGATGGTTTATACCCGAGGGGTTGCGCACCCGTCTGCTGCGTACTTACCATAACTCCAAAACTGCCGGGCATCCGGGGAGGAACCAGTTGTCTTGGGTCGTCTCTCGGTTGTTCTGGTGGCCAACTCTCCGTGCCGTCATCGCCTCTTATGTAGCGGCATGTTCGATCTGTGCCCAGAATAAATCTCCACGGCATCTTCCAATGGGTCTTCTGCAACCCATTCCCAATGGGGAGCATCCTTGGTCATACCTGGGCATGGACTTTATTGTAGACCTCCCTGTGTCTCGGGGTCATACGGTCATTCTCATGGTCGTCGATCGTTTTTCCAAAATGTGCCATTGTATTCCACTCAGGAAATTACCAACAGCGCAAGAACTGGCCAAGGTCTTTTCCAGGGAGATTTTTCGCCTGCATGGGTTGCCCAAGGTGATTGTCTCGGACCGCGGGAGTCAGTTCGTGTCCAGATTCTGGCGCGCCTTCTGCTCCCAGTTGGGGATTAGTCTCTCCTTTTCTTCAGCCTACCACCCGCAGTCCAATGGGGCTGCGGAGCGTTCCAATCAGGCCTTAGAACAATTCCTTCGGTGTTATATCTCGGACCATCAGGACGATTGGGCCGATCTCCTGCCTTGGGCAGAGTTTGCCAGGAACTCAGCGGTCAACTCCTCCTCCGGGATGTCTCCCTTCATGGCCAACTATGGGTACCAACCCGCGGTATTACCTGAGAGGTTCTCACCACAGGACATTCCGGCTGTGGAGAACCATCTTGCTGCCCTGCGTTCTTCATGGGGGCAGATCCCGAGGGCTTTGAGGGACTTGGCTCAGCGTCAGAAGTTCCAGGCTGATCGCAGACGGTTGCCCGCTCCTTCATACCAGGTCGGCGATCGGGTGTGGTTGTCTACTCGTAACCTCAATCTTCGGGTGCCCACACCCAAACTAGCTCCCCGTTTTTTCGGTCCTTTTCGCATTCTCCGCAAGGTGAATCCGGTGGCCTATGCCCTTGCCCTTCCACCTGGGATGCGGATCTCCAATATCTTTCATGTATCACTGTTGAAACCTCTGATCTGCAATCGCTTCACTACCTCTCTGCCTCGGCCCCGTCCCATTCGGGTTGACGGTCATGAGGAGTATGAGGTGAGCCGGATCCTGGACTCTTGATTGGTGCGCGGTCGATTACAGTTCCTGGTTCATTGGCGCGGTTATGGTCCCGAGGAGCGTTCCTGGGTTCCTTCCGCGGATGTCCATGCTCCTGCCCTCCTCCACGCTTTTCATACCCGCTTTCCTCAGAAACCTTTTGTTGAGCCGCGGAGGGGGAGGGGCCCTTGAGGAGGAGGTACTGTCAAGGTCCTACCTTTTCCCAGAGGTTATGTTACTCCATGTGCTGGCATCCATCTTGGATTTCTGCTGAGCATGGTGGGAAGCTTTTATGCCTTCAGGTCTCTGAGGTCCATCCCCCCGAGGGGTGTGGCTGAGTACATATAAGCCTGTGATCCGCACATGCTCTTTGCACTTGTGTCTTTGTCTTGCTACAGCTCTGTGTATATGCTCGTGACTCTTCTGGTATTCTGACTCGGCTTGTGACTAAGACCATTCTCTGTGTTTTCCTTCGATCTGACCTTCCGTTGCTGAACCGGCCCATGACCTGTGATTCTCTGTCTACTGTTCTGTACTGTTTTGTCCCGTTGTTGTCGACCCGGCTTGCCTGACTACGCTATTGTCATTCTCACCAGCTACACGCCATTGGCGGCGGCCATTACCGCAGCCGGGGTGTCTCGGGGCCGCGACCTGGTTCCTGGCTGCGTCAAGTCCATCCCCACCATCAGGGGCCCTGGTGAAGGGCAGCCTGGGACTTAGACTCCGCGCCCTGAGGGATTTCGGTCTGTTGGTGGTGGTTGTCGTCAGCCAGAGCGTTACCCTGCCACTAGGCCTACCTATCGTTCCACAGCCCTGCCCTGACATGGAGACTTCCTAAAAAAAGAGCAGATGTCAGGAATGGGATCTCCTGTAACTAAGTGGTTTCTCCACACGCATTCCATAAATCTAAACCTAAATCCCAAAAAACACTGACGTATATCCATGTGGTTCTAGGGTTCAGCTGAGAGGCCAAAACCAATACAAACAAATGAAAAACACAAACTATATAATGGAAGAGAAAGGAGAAAAAAAAAAAAAAAAGGGAGAATCAAAAGTAGAGAGAAAAGAGAAGAGAGTCTCTCGAAATTGGCCTCCAAGCCAAGGAAAGGTCCACATCCAGGTATTAGGTATGATGTCTCGTTTAACCCCAATTTAAGTATCGCTTTCAAGCGGGGGGAGTAAGGGGGGGGGCCCCTAAAGAGACAAGTCTACCACCTTTAAGACCTCAAATTCCATAAACACTAAAGTGGTTGTGATGGAGACTTCCTACAAAAAAAAGAGCAGATGTCAGGAATGGGATCTCCCATAATTGTGGTCTTCACAAGGCATCCCATAAATCTAAACCGAAATCCCAAAAAAGCACTGAAGTATATCCATGTGGTTCTAGGGCCCACCTGGGGGGTCAGAACAATACAAGCAAAAAACAAACAAACTATAAAATGGAAAGGAAAGGAGAAAAACTACAAGAAAAAGTGAGAATCAAAAGTAGAAAGAAAAGAGAAGAGAGGCTCTCGAAATTGGCCTCCAAGCCAAGGAATAGTCCACGTCCAGGTATTAGGTATGATGTCTTGTTAACCCAAATTGAAGTATCACTTCCAAGTGAGGGGGTAAGGGAGTAAGGGGAGGGCGGTCCCTAAGGAGACAAGTCTACCATCTTTAAGGCCTCAAATTCCATAAACATAAAGAGGTTGTGATGGAGACTTCCTAAAGAGGTTGTGATGGAGAAAAAATAGTAGATGTCAGGAATGGGATCTCCCGTAATTATGTGGTCTCCACACGGCATCCCATAAATCTAAACCGAAATCCCAAAAAAGCACTGAAGCATATCCATGTGGTTCTAGGGGGCACCTGAGAGGCCAAAACAAATAAAAAACTAAAAAATTCATGCCCAAAAACGGTAGGAAAAGGGAGAAAAAAAAAAAACAGGAAAAAAGGGAGAAGGGAGTCTCTCGAAATTGGCCTCCAAGCCAAGGAAAGGTCCATGTCCAGGTATTATGAAGCTCCCATGGCATCCGCTCTTCAGTCACCTATTTTCGGGGATATATAGCAAGGTGAGATCTCCGATGTACAGCAAAATATGATCCGTGTAGAAGACATTTCCATACTACTACACCTTAACGGTTTTGTGGATTCTCCGATGTCTGCTAAGATCAAACTCCTGTCAAAAAACTTTCCCGCACTCAGGGCAGGAATATGGCTTCGCCACCCCAGGTGTGAGATATTTGATGTCTGACAAGTTCTGATTTCCCTGGAAAACATTTCCCGAACTCAGGGCAGGAATATGGTTTCTCCCCCGCTATGAGATTTTTGATGTCTAACAAGTTCTGATTTCCCTGGAAAACATTTCCCGCACTTGGCGCACAAATATGGCTTTTCCCCTGTGTGAGATCTTTGATGTCTGACAAGTTCTTGTTTCCGTACGTAACATTTCTCGCATTCGGTGCAGGAAAACAGCTTTATCCCTGTGTGGCGTATCAGATGTTCAGTAAGACTGGACTTTCGTGAAAAAAATTTCCCGCACTCGGGACAGGAATACGGCTTCTCTCCCGTGTGACATCTTAGATGTTTAACAAGTTCTGCTTTCCATTTGTAACATTTTGTGCACTTGGGGCAGGAATAAGGCTTCTCCCCCGTGTGAGTTCTTTGATGACGAACGAGAGTGGGCTTCTGTGTGAAACATTTCCCGCACTCGGAGCAGGAATACGGCTTCTCCCCTGTATGAGTTCTTTGATGACGAACAAGGGTGTGCTTCTGTGTAAAACATTTCCCACACTCGGAGCAGGAATACAGCTTCTCACCCGTATGCAATCTCTGATGTCTGGAAAGAGTTATCTTTTCTGTAAAACATTTCCCGCACTCAGTACAAGAATACGGCTTCTCCCCCGTGTGAGATCTTTGATGTTTAACAAGTTCTTCTTTCCATGTGTAACGTTTTGTACACGCGGGGCAGGAATAAGGCTTCTCCTCTGTGTGAATTCTTTGATGACGAACAAGGATGTGTTTCTGTGTAAAACATTTCCCACACTTGGAGCAGGAATACGGCTTCTCCCCCGTGTGAGTTCTTTGATGGTGAGCAAGGATGTGTTTCTGTGTGAAACATTTTCCGCACTCAGAGCAGGAATACAGATTCTCACCTGTGTGCAATCTCTGATGTCTGGACAGACTGCTTTTTTCTGAAAAACATTTCCCGCACTCAGGACAGGAATACGATTTCCTCCCTGTGTGAGATCTCTGATGTTTGAAGAACTCTCCCAAATGAAAGAAACTTTCCCCGCACTCAGAACATGAATGAAGTTTCTCACCCATGTGGGACCTCTGGTGCAGAGAAAGACTTACTGCAGAGCTAAAACTTTCCTCACATTCAGTGCAGGAAAATTCCTTCTCCTCCTTCATTTCATTACCATCCCCCACAGTACGAGGGTGCTCAGAGTCAGAGGGATTCCATGGTCTCTCCACACTGGGAAGTCCACCATCCATAGTGAAGCTCATTGTCTTTTCTCTGGCACATGGAATCCCAGCCCCATCCCCCACAGTACGAGGTTGCTCAGGGTCAGAGGTTTTCCATGGTCTCTCCACACTGGGAAGTCCACCATCCATAGTGGAGCTCATTGTCTTTTCTCCGGCACAATCTCCTGGGATGTCCTCATCTTCCATTTTACAACCTGGAGATAAAATGAGATGATCCCTTGAGGGTTTCTCCATGGCGGGTCCTGGAAAAATAGAAAAACATCATCAATAGATAGGAGAGGGTTAGTTCACTTCCATCAAGATTCCATCTGGATCAAGAAGATAGGAGGGAGCAGATGTTCTCTGTGGATGTCCCAACCAGCTGGGACTCCTCCCCTCATCAAAGAGCCTTTGGTCCTCCCAGGTCACTTCTACATTTACACTACCTTGTCAGAGGAGCAGGAACCAATGGGGGGGCTGGGGGGGGGGGGGTAACAGAGCAGAGATAAGAGAAGAATATATTCTGGTCACCTGTGCTGATCTCTGTAGGAGTGTCCTCCTCTATGAATGTCCTCCTCATTCCAGCCTCCTCCGTATATTGCTGATCATCCCTCACATACGTCTCTTCTACTTCACCCTCAACTTTCATGTTCATCAGATCTTCACCCTAAACCAACAGAATGGCAGAAAATAACATCTGTAACATAGAAGGATTTATGATGTGAGATCACATAGAACATCTCATCTTGTAGAGTCCACACATCGTCTCCACATGTCAGAGTGTTCCATCACTTTATGTTCCCGACCCTCAACTTCACCTACCTGATGATGGTGAGGGATGGTGTGACCTTCCTGTGTGGAATCCTGAAAATACAGAGGATGGGGGCATCTCTCTGGGGGGTTCCTGGTATTAGGTTGCTCCATCACATCCTTGTGTCCTTCTGAAAACTCCTCCATCACTCCATACTCCTCGTCCTCCTCTGTAAACTCTTCTTTGATACCAATATTATAATTCTCAAGGTTTCCAGTCTAAAATGCATAATAATACATTCATTTCAGCAAAAAACTTTTGCACAAATTATTACTATCAGTGATTGTTCCTCATGTACCTGATGATGGTGAGGGATGGTGTGTTCCTCCTGTGTGAAATCCCAGGAATACAGAGGACGGGGACATCTCTCTGGTGGGTTCCCATGACTGGATCCATCTACCTGATGATGGTGAGGGATGGTATGACCTTCCAGTGTGGATTCCCGGGAATACAGAGGACGGGGACATCTCTCTGGTGGGTTCCCATGACTGGATCCATCTACCTGATGATGGTGAGGGATGGTGTGACCTTCCTGTGTGGAATCCCGGGAATACAGAGGACAGGGACATCTCTCTGGTGTGTTCCCATGACTGGATCCATCTGTAGGAAACACACACACTTTATTGTTTCTATGTGTTTATCAGATGATGGGGGATCTAGGTGGATCCCCCGTACTGCTCTCTCCTTTCCAATAAAGTCTCCTCTTACCCGGTGATGTGAGGGGCGGCTGATTGTCCATCATGACGTCCTTGTAGAGGTCCTTGTGTCCTTCTAAATACTCCCACTCCTCCATGGAGAAATAGACAGTGACACCCTGACACCTTATAGGAACCTGACACACACAATGATACAGTCACCACCAGACACATCCCTTGTCTGTTACTGGAGAATGTCCCAGAATTCCCGGCACCACTCACCTCTCCTGTCAGCAGCTCCATCATCTTCTTGGTGACTTCTAGAATCTTCTGCATGTTTGTGTCTCTCAGGGTTTAGGGAGTCACATGGAGGCACTGTGATGGTCATATGATCACCTGACTTCAGAAGAGGAAGTCTCTGTATTGGGGAACCAATAGGAACATCATGTTAGACTCCCAAAATCCTCCTCACCTCTCCGGTCAGGTCTGTGTTTTATTAATATTGATGAGTGATGTCATGTGACCTCCCAGAATCCTCCTCACCTCTCCGGTCAGCAGGTAGATGATCTCCAGGGTGAGGTTTAGTATCCTCTCAGTCATGTGACTCCGGTCCTCCTCCATCCTCATTGGTCATGTGACCTAGGTGGGTTCCTCTGTAGATGGATAGGGGAGAATTATCTGGACTGTATTGGTGTTGTACAATATTAGGAGGGAGATATAAGGGGTTAATAGGCGGGGGGCCCCCAGTGGGAATGGACACGTGTAGTTTGGGTTATCTAGTATTTGTTGTGTCTCCTGCTCTCTGCAGTCCTGTTATATTGTGTCCATTCTGTTACTTAGTGTTTGTAACTTCTTAGCACTTTGTGCAGAAAAACAAGACAACTCCAAGCATCCTTCCCTCTCCGGGCCTTGCACACAGCTCCCACCAGGTATTGTCAGCAGTGGAGACTCCATGGCCACCAGATGGCTGTTGAAGGCCATGATCTGCTGTCCACCATGTGTTCCTTCCCCCTCTTCCAACACGTCTCAGCTCTATCCTTCACCTTGTCACAGTGACTATGGAGGAAGAGGACGGGCTTGACGGTGGAGGAAGAGGACGGACGTGACGGTGGAGGAAGAGGACGGACGTGACGGTGGAGGTAGAGGATGGTTGTGACAGTGGAGGAAGAGGACTGTCATGATGATGGAGGAAGAGGACGGTCGTGACTGTTGTGAGTGTGGAGGAAGAGGACGATCGTGATGATGGAGGAAGAGGACGATCGTGACGATGGAGGAAGAGGACGACGATCGACGATGGAGGAAGAGGACGGGCGTGACGGTGGAGGAAGAGGACGGACGTGACGATGGAGGAAGAGTACGAACGTGACGTTGGAGGAAGAGGACAGACGGGACAGTGGAGGAAGAGGACGGACATGACGGGGGGAGTTACTGGATGTAAATATAAAATCAGATCTTATTACCTCCTCTGCTGCCACTTCCAGCAATGTCTCCTCTCTACGTCCTGCAAGGAGCCATTCCCTCTAAACATCTTATTTGTACACCTACATCACTTCCTGTGTGTCCCTGACATCACTTCCTGTCCTCCATAGAGACTTCCTGTCTGGGTAGAAGTGAGATCACCACCATTGTGGAGCTCAGAGGAACTGCAGCCCCGAGAACCGTCTGGTAGTGTGACCCCAGCCTTGTCACCATTGCCAAGAATCCCGGATGCTGAAGGACTGTCCCGGATTCCAGTTACTGTCCCATCACATGCTAATCCCGCAGGTTCCAGGAAACTTTGCAGAATGGCAGTGAGGTGACGATGGCTGGCGCACTTTCCGGGACTCACCACCAGGCACTGCATTTATACCAGACTTTTGAGAGCAATGATCCCCTTTTTGACAGTGAAAGTCTAGAGCCGAGCGCTCTTCATTGTACTGTGTGTTGTTGTAAACTGATCCGAAGAAACTCAACGGATGCTCAGTTTGAGCGTTCTCTCCCCTGTATGCCAGCAGTTTAGGCAAGTCTCCGGGAATATACCTGAGACACTTCCAGCTACATGAAAATTTACTGGCCTCCACCAAGGTTAAGAGAGCGACCTTAGGAAGTTCCTGTGTGGTGGCTCCATCATGGATCTTTCCTTGGAGTGGGTGCACTCTGATGGTGGGTCAGAAGAAGGATAGAGGATGGAGGAAGAGGACAGATGTGACGATGGAGGAGAGGATGGACATGATGGGGGGGTTACTGGGTGTAAATATAAAATCAGATCATATTACCTCCTCTGCTGCCACTTCCAGCAATGTCTCCTCTCTACTTCCTCCCGACTCACCTGGAACTTCCTTTCTGTATCTGACATCACTTCGTGTCTTCCATAGAGACTTCCTGTCTGGGCAGAAGTGGATCTCAGAGGAACTGCAGCCTGAAGAACCGTCTGGTAGTGTGACCCCGGCCTTGTCATTGTTGCCAAGAGTCCCAGGTCCTGCAGGACAGTCCCGGGATTTAGTCTACTGTTCCATCATGTCCAAGTCCCGTAGGTTCCAGGACTCTGTGCAGAGTGGCAGTGAGGTGATGACGGCTGGAATACTCTCGGGGTTCCATCACCAGACACTGCAATTATATCGGACTTGTTGGGTGGAGGGATCTCCTTTCTGACAATGAAAGTAGAACTCCGACATCAGCAGAGAGGAAGCGAGCAGGAGCGTGTGATGGCCACCAAAGTTTGGGCTGGGGTTAGACTTTGTTCTTTTGAACTTATTCTATCCCACTGACACCAAAGATGGTGATTGTATACACCTATTGCCATGGAAGGGGTTGGAACACCTGAATCACATGATATGGAGGGGATTGGAACACCTGAATCACATGATATGGAGGACGGGAACAATACTTTTGGCAGCACAGTGTATATAGCACCATCATACCCAGACATGTCCATCGAATTGCCAGACAGAGAAGCGTGATTGGTCCCTCCAGAGAACACGTCTCCACTGCTCTAGAGTCCAGTGGCGGCGTGCTTTACACCCCAGCATCAGACGCTTTGCATCGCACTTGGTGATGGAAGGCTTGGATGCAGCTGCTCAGCCATGGAAACGCATTCCATGAAGCTCTCTACACACTGTTGTTGGGCTTATTTGAAGTCCACACCAAGTTTGGAGGTATTTAGCTATTGACTCTGCAGACATTGGCGACTTCTGTGCACTGTGCGCTTCAGCATGCACTGACCCCACCCTGTCATGTGACGTGGCCTACCACTTGGTGGCTGAGTGGCTGTTGTTCCCAGTTGCTTCCACTTTGTTATAATCCCACTAACAGTCGAGCGTGGAATATTTTGTAGCCAAGAAATGTCACGGATGGACTTATTGCACAGGTGGCCACCTATCACGAGACCACGCTTGGAGTCACTGAGCTCCTGAGAGCGACCCATTCTTTCACCAATGTTTGTAGAAGCAGTCTGCATGCCTAGGGGCTTGATTGTATACACCTGTGTCCATGGAGGGGATTGGAACACCTGAATCACATGATAGGGAGGGGATTGGAACACCCAAATCACATGATAGGGAGGGGATTGGAACACCCGAATCACATGATATGGAGGGGATTGGAACACCCGAATCACGATATGGAGGGGATTGGAACACCTGAATCACATGATATGGAGGGGATTGGAACACCTGAATCACATGATATGGGGGGATTGGAACACCTGAATCACATGATTGGGAGGGGATTGGAACACCTGAATCACATGATATGGAGGGGATTGGAACACCTGAATCACATGATATGGAGGGGATTGGAACACCTGAATCACATGATATGGAGGGAATTGGAACACCTGAATCACATGATTGGGAGGGGATTGAAACACCTGAATCCAATGATTGGAACATCTGAATCCAAGGATTGGGAGGGATTGGAACACTTGAATCCAAGGATTGGAACATCTGAATCCAAGGATTGGGTGGGGATTGGAACACCTGAATCCAAGGATTTGGGTGGGGATTGGAACACCTAAATCCAAGGATTGGGATGGGATTGGAACACCTGAATCCAAGGATTGGAACACCTGAATCCAAGGATTGGGAGGGGATTGGAACACCTGAACCCAAGGATTTGGAGGGGGTTGGAACACCTGAACCCAAGGATTTGGAGGGGGTTGGAACACCTGAACCCAAGGATTTGGAGGGTATTGGAACACCTGAACCCAAGGATTTGGAGGGGATTGGAACACCTGAACCCAAGGATTGGGAGGGGATTGGAAAACCTGAATCCAAGGATTTGGAGGGGATTGGAACACCTGAATCACATGATTGGAACGCCTGAACCCAAGGATTTGGAGGGCGGGGCCAATACTTCTGGGAACAATCATGTGACATACAAAAAAATGGCGACCACCACTTTTTTTATTCTGCTTCCAGAAAATATATCATGTTTTGGGGGCTTCGGGTGTCACTTCCAGGTCAGGAGAACGGATGTTTGTCCATTCCACTTCCTTCCCTCTATTCGGTGGCACCCACTATGCCAGTCCCGAGCCAGCAGAACCCGGGATACGTGGCGGGAACACACGCCACGCTGGTTGGTGTCATTGGAACCGGTGTCAGGGCCCGGCGGTCTCGGGACAGGTAAGGGAGGCAGGGCTCATTTCTCAGCGCCCCTCCAGGGGTAAGCATTACCTAATATAGACACCCACGCTCTGTACCCCCAAAATCTCATCTCCATTTATTAATGATGAAGTCTCCTGCCTGTGAAAATATCATGAAACACTTTTTTTCATTTTGTAACTTTATTGATACTTTTTCATCACACAGAAAAATGCAGAAGGCACGTGGAACATCAAGAAGGACCGATATTCAGAGTTAGGACTTTTAGAAGAGTGGTCTCAAAACTGTGGCCCAGGGGGGGCTGGATGTGGCCCTTTGCTTGCCTTTATCTGGCCATTGAGGCACTGTTCCTCCATCTGACACCAATGATGGGGCACCATTCCTCCCACTGACACCAATGATGGGGCACCAATCCTCTCACTGACACCAATGATGGGGCACCAATCCTCCCACTGACACCAATGATAAGGCACGATTCCTCCCACTGATACCAATGATGGGGCACTATTCCTTCCATTAATACCAATGATGGGACACCATTCCTCCCACTGACACCAATGATGGGGCACCATTCCTCCCACTGATACCAATGATGGGGCACCATTGCTTCCACTGACACCAACGATGGGGCACTATTCCTCCCACTGACACCAGTGATGGGGCACTATTCCTCCCACTGACACCAATGATGGGGCACTATTCCGCCCACTGACACCAATGATGGGGCACCATTCTTCCATCTGACACCATCAATGTGGCACTATTCCTCCAACTGACACCATCAATGTGGCACTATTCTTCCAACTGACACCATCAATGGTGCACTATTCCTGCCACTTACACTATCAAGGGAGGCACTACTACTGTCACTGACACCATCGATGGTGCACTATTCCTGCCACTGACACCAACAATGAGGAATTATTCCTGCCACTATCGATGGGACACTATTATTCCTACTGGCACCATCAATGCATCACTATTCCTCCCACTGACACCATCAGTGCATCACTATTCCTCCCACTGACACCATCAGTGCATCACTATTCCTCCCACTGACACCATCAATGCATCACTATTCCTCCCACTGACACCTGGAATTTTCTACTCCCACAGGCAAAAGTCTGGACCTCCTAAAAACTGAAGAAACTGGCCCTTAGATTGGAGGCCAGGAATGGGACACTACTCCTGCCACTGACACCATCAATGGGACACTACTCCTGCCACTGACACCATCAATGGGGCACTATTCTTCCACTGACATTAACAACGGGGCACTATTCCTGTCACTGACACCATTGATGGGTCACTATTGTTCCAATTACACCAACAACGGGGCACTATTCCTGCTACTGACACTATCGATGGGGCTTTATTCCTTCCACTGACACCATAGATGAGGCACTACATCTGTCACTGCCACCAACAACGGGGCACTATTCCTGTCACTGACATTACCAATGGGACACTACCTCTGCCACTGACACCATTGATGGGGCACTATTGTTCCAATGACACCAACAACGGGGCACTATTCCTGCCACTGACACTATCGATGGGGCACTATTCCTCCCACTGACACCATTGATGGGGCACTACTCCTGTCACTGACACCATCGATGGGGCACTACTCCTGTTACTGACACCATCGATGAGGCACTACTCCTGTCACTGCCACCAACAACAGGGCACTATTCCTGCCACTGACACCATTGATGGGGCATTATTCGTCCACTAACAGCAAGAATGGGGAACTACTCCTGTCACTGACACCACTGATGGGGCACTATTCCTGCCACTGACACCATTGATGGGGCACTACTTCTGTCACTGACACCATTGATGGGGCATTATTCATGTCACTGACACCATCGATAGGGCACTACTCCTGTCACTGACACTATTGATAAGGCACTATTCCTGCCACTGACACCATTGATGGGGCACTACTCCTGTCATTGACACCATCGATGGGGCACTACTCCTGTCATTGACACCATCGATGGGGCACTACTCCTGTCACTGACACCATCGATGGGGCACTACTCCTGTCACTGACACCAACAATGGGGCACTATTCTTCCACTGACACCAAGAAGGGGCACTATTCCTGCCACTGGCACCATCAGTGGGAATCGGTAGGGAAAGGAGAAAGACCACAAGAAAAAGGGAGGATCAAAAGTAGGAAAGAGTCTCTCGAAATTGGCCTCCAAGCCAAGGAAAGGTCCATGTCCAGGTATTCTGAAGCTCCCATGGCACCAGATCTTCAGTCACCTGTTTTCGGGGATGTATATCAAGGTGAGATCTGCGACGTACAGCAAAGTATGATTCATGAAGAAGACATTTCTATACTGCTACACCTTAACAGTTGTGTGGGTTTTCCGATGTTTGTTAAGATAAGTATCCCGTGAAAAACATTTCCCGCATTCGGAGCAGGAGTACGGCTTCTCCCCCGTGTGAGACCTCTGATGGTCGACCAATTCTGATTTCCGAACGTAACATTTCTCACATTCGGTGCAGGAAAACAGCTTTGTCCCTGCGTGGCGTATCTGATGTTCATTAAGACTGGACTTTTGTGTGAAACATTTCCCGCACTCAGGGCAGGAATACGGCTTCTCCCCCGTGAGAGTTATTTGATGACGAACGAGGAGTCGTTTCTGTGTAAAGCTTTTCCCACACTCGGAGCAGACATATGGCTTCTCCCCCGTGTGAGATCTCTGATGGCGAACGAGGAGGCTTTTCTGTGTAAAACTTTTTCCGCACTCAGAGCAGGAATACAGCTCGCCCGTGTGCAATCTCTGATGTCTGGAAAGAGTGGTCTTTTCTGTAAAACATTTCCCGCACTCAAGACAGGAATACGGCTTCTCCCCCGTGTGAGATCTGTAATGTTTGAGGAACTCTCCTTTGTGAAAAAAGTTTTCTCCACACTCAGAACAAGAATACGAAAATGGCTTCTTCACCGTGTGAGATCTTTGATGTTGGACAAATTCCCCTATATGAAAAAAACATTCTCCGCACTGAGGACAGCAATGAAGATTTTTACCCGTGTGGGACCTCTGATGTATAGAAAGACTTAATGCAGAGCTAAAGCATTTCCCGCACTCAGGACAGGAAAATTTCTCTTCTCCCTGAACCCCGGCCCCATCCCCCACAGTACGAGGGTGCTCAGAGTTAGAGGGATCCCATGGTCTCTCCACACTGGGAAGTCCACCATCCATAGTGGAGCTCATTATCTTTTCTCCGGCACAATTTCCTGGGATGTCCTCATCTTCCATTTTACAACCTGGAGATAAAATGAGACGATCCTTTGAGGGTTTCCTCCATGGCGGGTCCTGGAAAAATAGAAAAACATCATCAATAGATAGGAGAGGGTTAGTTCACTTCCATCAAGATTCCATCTGGATCAGGGAGATAGGGGGGAGCAGATGTTCTCTGTGGATGTCCAAACCAGCTGGGACTCTTCCCCTCTTCAAAGAGCCTTTGGTCCTCCCAGATCACTTCTACATTTACACCTCCTTGTCAGAGGAGCAGGAACCAATGGGGGCTGGGGGGGGGGGGGGGGGGGGGGGGGGGGGCGGTAACAGAACAGAGATAAGAGAAGAATATATTCTGGTCACCTCTGCTGATCTCTGTAGGAGTGTCCTCCTCTATGAATGTCCTCCTCATTCCAGCCTCCTCCGTATATTGCTGATCATCCCTCACATACGTCTCTTCTACTTGACCCTCAACTTTCATGTTCATCAGATCTTCACCCTAAACCAACAGAATGGCAGAAAATAACATCTGTAACATAGAAGGATTTATGATGTGAGATCACATAGAACATCTCATCTTGTAGAGTCCACACATCGTCTCCACATGTCAGAGTGTTCCATCACTTTATGTTCCCAACCTGCAACTCCACCGACCTGATGATGGTGAGGGATGGCGTGACCTTCCTGTGTGGAATCCCAGGAATACAGACGGGGACATCTCTCTGGGGGGTTCCTGGTATTAGGTGGTTCCATCATATCCTTGTGTTCTTCTGAAAACTCCACCATCACTCCATACTCCTCATCCTCCTCTTCATACTCTTCTTTTACAACAATATTATAATCCGCGAGGTTTGCATTCTGGAGATATAATAGAATATTCACTGTAACAAACATGCTGTGTATAAATAACAACTATCAGTGATTGTTCCTCATCTACCTGATGATGGTGAGGGATGGTGTGACCTTCCTGTGTGGAATCCCGGGAATACAGAGGACGGGGACATCTCTCTGGTGGGTTCCCATGACTGGATCCATCTACCTGATAAAGGTGAGGGATGGTGTTACCTTCCTGTGTGGAATCCCGGGAATACAGAGGACGGGTACATCTCTCTTGTGGGTTCCCATGACTGGATCCATCTGTAGGAAACACACACACTGACTGAATCCATTGTTTCTATGTGTTTATCAGATGATGGGGGATCTAGGTGGATCCTCCGTACTGCTCTCTCCTTTCCAATAAAGTCTCCTCTTACCCGGTGCTGTGAAGATATGGAACTTTTCTGTCTTCATATCCTCAAAGATGTCCTTACTGTCTTCTAAATACCCCCAACCCTATATCAAGAAATAGACAGTGACACCCTGACACCTTATAGGAACCTGACACACACAATGATACAGTCACCATCCAGACACATCCCTTGTCTGTTACTGGAGAATGTCCCAGAATTCCCAGCACCGCTCACCTCTCCTGTCAGCAGCTCCATCATCTTCTTGGTGACTTCTAGAATCTTCTGCATGTTGTGTCTCTCAGGGTTTAGGGAGTCATATGGAGGCACTGTGATGGTCATATGATCACCTGACTTCAGAAGAGGAAATCTCTGTATTGGGGAACCAATAGGAATATCATGTTAGACTCCCAGAATCCTCCTCACCTCTCCGGTCAGGTCTGTGTGATGTCATGTGACCTCCCAGAATTCTCCTCACCTCTCCGGTCAGGTCTGTGTTTTATTAATAGAGATGAGAGTGATGTCATGTGACCTCCCAGAATCCTCCTCACCTCTCCGGTCAGGTCTGTGTTTTTTATTAATAGAGATGAGAGTGATGTCATGTGACCTCCCAGAATCCTCCTCACCTCTCCGGTCAGGTCTGTGTTTTATTAATAGAGATGAGAGTGATGTCATGTGACCTCCCAGAATCCTCCTCACCTCTCCGGTCAGGTCTGTGTTTTATTAATAGAGATGAGAATGATGTCATGTGACCTCCCAGAATCCTTCTCACCTCTCCGGTCAGCAGGTAGATGATCTCCAGGGTGAGGTTTAGTATCCTCTCAGTCATGTGACTCCGGTCCTCCTCCATCCTCATTGGTCATGTGATCTATACAGGTTTCCTGTAGACCAATAATTGATAACAGAATGATCTTGACTGTACTGGTTGTACAATATTGGGAGGGGGGGATACTAATTTAGCGTTTCTTATGTTTTCAGGGTCCAGCAGCCTCTAACCCTTTGGACTTAATATCTAAATAAAATCCTATCCTTCACACTTTTCCAAAATTGAGAATGTTCCGGCCCCGGAAGTGGGGGAATGTTCTGCCCCTGAAGGGGTTAATCTGGGTTCCCACACTATATATGTGTGTATCATCATCTGCTGGAGATAAAAGACATCACAGTGACTATGGAGGAAGAGGACGGACATGACGGTGGAGGACAGACATGACAATGGAGGAATAGGATGAGCGTGACTATGGAAGAGGACAGACACGACAATGGAGGAAGAGGATGGACGGGATGATGGTGGAAGAGAATGGACGGAACGATGGAGGAAGAGGACTAACGGAACGATGGAGGAAGAGGATGGACATGACAATGAAGGAAGAGGACGGATGTGATGATGGAGGAAGAGGACTGACATGATGGAGGGTTACTGCGTGCAAATATAAAATCAGATCTTATTACCTCATCTGCTGCCACTTCCAGCAATGTCTCCTCTCTACTTCCTCCCAACTCACTCTCACCTGGAAATTCCTGTCTGTCCCTGACATCACTTCCTGTCTACCATAGAGACTTCCCATCTGGGTAGAGGTGATATCTCCACCTTGTGGAGCTCAGAGGAACTGCAGGCCGTAGAAACGTAAGATGATATAAAGGCAAAGGTCTCCAAACTCAAAACAAAGGGCCATTTTACTGTCCTTCAGAACTTAGGGCGGCCGGACCGTGACCATCGGGAGTAAAAAACGTCCTGGCGTCAGTGGAAGTAAACAATGCCCCATCTTTGGTGTCAATTAGAGGAATTTTCCCCCTTTGAGAGGAATTGCTTCCCATCGTTGGTCTCATTGGGAGGAGTTTTTGCCCCATCGTTGGTCTCATTGGGAGGAGTTGTGCCCCATCTTTGGTCTCATTAGGAGGAGTTGTGCCCCATCGTTGGTCTCATTGGGAGTAGTTGTGCCCCATCGTTGGTGTCATTGGGAGGAGTTGTGCCCCATCTTTGGTCTCATTGGGAGGAGTTGTGCCCCATCGTTGGTCTCATTGGGAGGAGTTGTGCCCCATCTTTGGTCTCATTGGGAGGAGTTGAGCCGCATCGTTGGCCTCATTGGGAGGAATTGTGCCCCATCGTTGGTCTCATTGGGAGGAGTTTTGCCCCATCGTTGGTCTCATTGGGAGGAGTTGTGGCCCATCGTTGGTCTCATTGGAAGGAATTGTGTCCCATCGTAGGTCTCATTAGGAGGAATTGTGCCCCTCGTTGGCCTCATTGGGAGGAGTTGTGCCCCATCGTTGGTCTCATTGGGAGGAGTTGTGCCCCATCGTTGGTCTCATTGGGAGGGGTTGTGCCCCATCGTTGGCCTCATTGGGAGGAGTTGTGCCCAATCGTTGGTCTCATTGGGAGGGGTTGTGCCCCATCGTTGGTCTCATTGGGAGGAGTTATGCCCCATCGTTGGTCTCATTGGGAGGAGTTGTGCCCCATCGTTGATCTCATTGGGAGGAGTTGTGCCCCATCGTTGGTTTCATTGGGAGGAATTGTGCCCCATCCTTGGTCTCATTGGGAGGAATTGTGCCCCATCTTACATATAGTTACATAGTTAGTATGGCTGAAAAAAGACAAAATCCCAATCCTATACCCACAGTTGATCCTGAGGAAGGTAAAAAAAACCCCAGCAAAGCATGATCCAATCTGCTCCTGTAGGGGAAAAATTCCTTCCTGATCCCCTGAGAGGCAATCGGATATTCCCTATAAATGTTATATCCAGTTATATTCTGTGTATCCAAGAAAGAATCCAGGACTTTCCTACAGCAATCCACTGAGCTGGCCACAACCAACTCTTGAGGGAGTCTATTCCACAGTCTCACAGCTCTCACTGTGAAGAAACCTTTCTGTGTTTGGAGATTACATTTCTTTTCCTCTAAACGTAGAGAGCGCCCCCTTATCCTCTGTGATGACCTCAGGGGGAAGAACTACACCGAGTTCACTATATGAACCACTGATGTATTTATACATGAAGTTCATATCCCCCTTATGTATTATATATGGTGATCATTTTTATTATTATACAGTATTTATATAGCGCCAAAGGGTTTGCTCAGCGCTGTACAGTAGCAAGGGGGACAGAACATGAGACAAGACAGTAACAATACAATACATGAGGGGTTCGAGGGCCCTGCTCTTTCGAGCTTACAATCTAGGTTTATCCCCCTTATGTATTATATATGGAGATCATATCCCCCTTATGTATTATACATGGAGATCATATCCCCCCCCCCCTTATGTATTATACATGGTGATCATATCCCCCATATGTATTTTACACTGAGATCATATCCCCCCCCCCTTTTCTATTATACATGGAGATCATATCCCCCCTTATGTATTATACATGGAGATCATATCCCCCCTTATGTATTATACACGGAG